ATAATCACCAGGTAAGAATTAAACACAATAAAATAAACAATTATGGAACAAATAACCCAACATGAGACTGGCATATATCAGACTTAACATTTTAATTTTATATTAGCTTTAACAACAATTAGGGAAGAAAGTTGTAGAGGCACTTCATTAAATGGATCTTTACAGCTACAAAGATAAATAATATAATGCCAAATGCTTAGCCCAAAACATCCACCAGCCCAAACAACATGTTTCATCCCTGACAGCACATTGCCTCTGCTGCACCAAAATCTCATAGTGATGTCAGCATTGTCCAGTTCTCTCCTGCTGTACTACAGAACACTTTTCCCCTTTTCTTCATTACTAAAACATAAGGGGGCTGTTTTGTTGTCCAGAAGGGAGAGCTCATGCAGGGATGCAAACTCAGTGCTGAATAGGTAATTAATGGCTCACTGGGTTTTTGTCAGGATCAACAGGTATTTTGCTATAAATGAAGTATTTCATGTATTGCTGAGATGTACCGAATACTCTTTTGCCTAAACATACACTTTAAAGGAGCAAAAACACACCCATACAAAACCTTTATAAAATTTAAATAAAACCAAGGGGGGGGCTATTTTTTTTAACAAAATTGCTGTGTGAATGACACAGCATCCCTATAGCCGTCTCATATAATCCCAGAAATACGTCTAATATATGTATTAACTATGATCATCAGCTCCATCTAGTGGTCATAGCGTAGTGCTTTCCTGAGTGAGGTATGTTAGGAAAATACCACATCATGGCCACTAGATGGAGATGACGAATATAGGAAATAAAGATATTTAGACACATTATGGGGATTATTTGTGACAGCTCTGGCAATGCCGAGACATTTACACAACCATTTTTAAAAAAAAGACCCTATGTATATTCATCTGAAACTAAAATTTACTTATGTTTAACCTCTTTGCGCCAGCGCCTCCCAGCCCTTTAGGAGTTTCAGAAGCTGGGAGGTGGGTGGGGTTTTAGGGTCATGAGACCCCCGTGATTCACTGTTACGGCGGTCACATGATCGGAAAAGGTCCCGATCAAAAGGAGAGATCCGGACCTTTCCGTGAGTCACAGACATATGTGCTGGAAGCACGCAGGGCATGCACTCTCAACACATATGTATTTTCTAATTGCGCGCTCAGTGTCAAGGGGTTAAAATTACATATTAACCTACTTGCTTCCAATATCTTTAAGGGACTTTGATTTGCATTCTGTCAAATGCTACACGCTAATTTGATAAATGATAAAAAGACACATCTGTACAGTACATAAACACACTTCCTATAGTTCATGGACATACAAAGCACAAGCTGTGTAAGGTTAAAAACTTAACAAAACAATAGGTGAACTTCATTGAGCATCTCACTGCTAGCTCTCAGTACAAAGCACACCACCAAATACCTTTTATTATGCAAGATGCACTCCAGAGAATGGATTTTTGTAAACAAGGATGTTGCACGTCCTTTCATCAATAATGTATGTATATGTTCTGCAGCAACATCTCTATTGTATTGCAACAACGATCTGCATAAAATCCACATAAGGTGTTAAAAGAAAGGGGGAATATTCTAAAAGGGCCTGTTTGACATGCACAAGCACACTCTATAGGCAGGGCCACATTATGTTTAGACATTGGGGATGTTTTATTCATAGTACATTTTCAGTGTGACCAGGATCTGTTTTAAAACATGCTGCAGACAACATCCAGTGACTTAAATAGGCTGCTGAAAGTGGAAAGTTTTAAAGCAATCTCAATTAAAGAGTGCGTTCTCTTTCTTACCATAATCCTGTCAAGGAGCGATTGTGTGGGAGACATTTATAAAGTTCTAGAAATTCTTCATCTTCTATCTGTGTCCACCCAAGACTATAAAATAAAATAAATTACATTGTTAGTGCCATCATTTGTAATACACTAATATTAAGGCTGACATGTAATAGTTTTTCTGTTTCCTTCACTTAAATTGTAACAGTGCGCTACAAAATAAATGGAGTAAAAAAAAAATAAAAGGTTTCCAGTCAAAGGACTCACAGCCATAAAACAAACTTGCAGTTTGTGTTCCTATTCATTGCTACTTTTTATTAATGCCTCCACCCAATGCGGGTCTATGCCTTGATGAATTTCATCTTACTGCCTGAACTTAACTTTTAACATCTGTTAAAAAACTGTTCTCTTAAAGTGGTTCTAAAGGCTAAAAGTTTTTCACCTTAATGCATTTTCTGCATTAAAGGAAAAGTTCACCTTAAAAAAAAATATGCACTTTTTTCCAGGTATAAAAAAAATGTGCATTTACTATTTATTTCTGCTCAGGAGCCTGGAAAGCATTGCCCCTGAGATTAGCAGATGACAGGTGCAATGTCAGAGTCCTGCAGACTGTCAGTATAGCTGTCTACCTGTACCTCTGTTACGGGCAGACAGTTACTTCATTCCAAGAAGAATCAATGAACTTACAAGGATGCCCACCAGTGCCCTTGCACTTCATTGAGAACTGCAGGCCATGGGCTGCAAAGGCTGTGGGTACTTGTAGTCTGTTCATTTACAGAACTCTATGATATAATGATGTGGTCATGTGAATGAAGCCCTGCACAGTTGACCTCTTTTCAAATTGTGAAAGTGGGTGCGGGGAGAAAATCCCCAACCCTCTGTCAGGGGAAGGGGTGGGAGGATCAGGGAGAGAGCTGCAGGAGAAGCACAATGTTACATGTTTCACTCTACCTAGACAACCCATCATAACAGAGGATGGAACTCTGAAAGAAATATTCCAGCAACCCCTAATACTAGCTTTCAGACAACCCCCCAACCTCAGAAATAAACTAATCAGTAGGAAACTTCCTTCTGATGATGATGTCACAAATAATGGAAGTAAACCCTGCAATAAGAAAAGCTGCAAACTCTGCAACCAAATCAATCCATCAAAAAGTGTCAGACACTCAAAAGGGATCTTCAATATCTCTGGATCATACAGCTGCACTTCCAGTAATGTTGTGTACCTTATCCAGTGCAGGAAATGCAGCAAAGGATCTTATGTTGGCGCAACAGGACAGAAGTTGCAAACAAGGATGAATCTGCACAGACATACCATCAAGGAACATAAAGAAGATGACTTTTGCACACCTGTGGGACACCATTTCGCACAACCGGACCACACAAAGGGAGACCTCAATGTTTTAGTTCTTAAAGGAAATTTCAAATCCATTCAGGAAAGAAAGACTTTTGAACTAAGAATGATAATTCTATTTGACACAAGAGATAACAGCCTGACTTTATGACTATCAGCTCAAGCATGACTGCCTCTGCTAGTGTTATCTCCCCCCCCCCCCAGACTTTGCTTTTGCTGTGTCTCATCTCTGTTTTTTTTTTTCCCTTCTCCTACATCTCTTCTAACATTCTGCTAAATCTTTTGTTTCAGTACTGCTTAGACCTTGAAGAAGGGGACATTCCCTGAAAGCTTGTCCTCACAATTGTATGTTAGTGCAAATAAAAAAAGTATCACGGACAGTACTCAATTGTTCCTGTCGCAAATGCACTAATACGGCTACAATCACCTCAAGCATGTTCCACCCCCCTAAAAATGGGTGGAACATATAACATGTTCCAAAAGATGAACTTACCCTTTACAGTAAAAAACCTTCTGCATGCAGCTCCCTCTTCAACCACCCCTTATATTTTCCTGAGCCTAATCTTGATCCTGTGCTGTGCATGAGAGCAGTGGCTCTCTAGGCTCTCCCCCTCCTCATTGGCTTATAGACAACAGAGGAGCCATTAGCTCCTGCTGCTATCAATACCAGCCAGTGATGAGGGAGTGTTGGGTGGGGTCAAGTCACCTGTTAGAGACACACAGAGCTAGCTCAGGAGCAACCCTGCATGAGTGCCCCCATAGCAAGCTTTATCACATGCCTGATGAAGGGGTCCTGCGAGGCTCCAAAATGTCACTTTTTGCAACTATGATGGGATCACTTAATAAAGCTTTAGACCTGTTCTTGAAATACTTTTTCCTATGGTGGGAACTCTGCGGAGGGGAGTTGCTAGGAGCAGTTGCAGGGGACCAGAGAAGAGGGGGATTCCTCCATTGCACAGAGCAGGTAAGTATGACGTTTGTTATTAAAAAACAATTTGTTTACAATCACTTTAAGGCAAAAAGCACAATACACCAATGAAATACATTTAACAAAGCTGGTTTACCTACCACCCATTTCTGGAATTTACACAGTTCTGTCACATAGCACAGTCCTGTCTGGCAGGTCAGGAGATCTGATATTTCTCTACTGTGGTAAATAACACTTGCAGGTTTTGTCCCTCCCACAGTCTGTAACTGGACACTAAAATGCGAGGCAGCAAAATTATGATTTCATCTCAAGATCACTTTGCTCTCTGCTTCAATCAGAATGTCCCTTAATAGTACATGAGCACTGCAGCACATCTGACTGGCTTGTTGTGCTGCTTCTCCCTTGTAATTAAGACAGAAAGGCATGAATGGTAGATGCATTGTTAGATGTTTTAACGCTTCCTCCCCTTATTTTTGTCTGTGTCCCCATTGAAGAGAGTTTACCACCTTTTCCTGTATTACCAGAAACTGAGAGAAAATTTGCCCTACTGGTACACAGACTGTGTCAATAAAAGTTTGAGTTTCTAAATCTTCTGCGCTCTATCCAATACAAAAAAAAATTAAACATTATCTTTGGGGATCTGGTTTCAATCTATTTTTATTTCAAAATGTTGTATTAATCATCACAAAGAGTCGAGTATCTAGCTGCTTGTCCCCAACATAAATTCAAATGAAGATTCCCCCTATGGCACTTTAACCACCTCCCACCCGCCATATAGTAATTTGACGGGCGCAAGGTGGTTCTCTCATTCTGGAAGAACGTCATATAACGTTGTCCCATTCTCACCGAGCATGCATGGCTCAGGGAGTGCGCAGCGCGGCGACACAGCAGATCACCGATCACGGAAATAGCCGAAGATGTCGGCTCGGTCATGTGATCAGCTGTGTCCAATCACAGCTGATCACATGTAAACAAGGAAATGCCAGTTATCGGCATTTCTATCCTCTCGAGCTGTCACGCTGACAGCTCGAGAGGAGAGGAGAGTCGGTAATCGGCTTTCCGCGGAGGGGACATGTACACAGATCATCAGGGCACGGATGATCAGTGTGCCCTGAGGATCAGTGTAGCCCCAGCACTGCCACCTGTCAGTGTCCATCAGTGCCTTATGTCAGTGCTCATCAGTGCCATGTGCCAGTGTCCATCAGTGCCACATGAATGCCACATGAATGCCACATATCAGCGCCTACCAGTGCACATCAATGCCACATATCAGCGCCTACCAGTGCACATCAATGCCACATATCAGTGCCCATCTGAGCTGCCTTTCAGTGTCACCCATCAGTGCCAGTCAGTGCCACCTATCAATGCCAATCAGTGCCACCCATCAGTGCTGCCAATCAGTGCCACCTATCAGTGCCAGTCAGTGCTACCTATCAGTGCACATCCGTGCTGCCTGTCAGTGCCACCTATCAGTGCCAGTCAGTGCCGCCTAACAGTGCCAGTCAGTGCCGCCTAACAGTACCATATATCAGTGCATGTATCAGTGCTGACTTTCAGTACCCATCAGTGATGCCTGTCAATGCCCATCAATGCCACCTATCAGTTCCAGTCAGTGCCACATATCAGTGCCAGTCAGTGCCGCCTAACAGTGCCAGTCAGTGACGCCTACAGTGCCAGTCAGTGACGCCTAACAGTGCCATATATCAGTGCATGTATCAGTGCTACCTTTCAGTGCCTATCTGTGATGCCTGTCAATGCCAATCAGTGCCACCTATCAGTGCCAGTCAGTGCCGCCTAACAGTGCCAGTCAGTGCTGCCTAACAGTGCCACCTATCAGTGCCATATATCAGTGCTGCCTTTCAGTGCCCATCAGTGATGCCTGTCAATGCCCATCAGTGCCACCTACCAGTGCCTCCTCATCAGTGCCCATCGGTGCCACCTATCAGTGTCCATCAGTGCAGCCTATCAGTGCAGCCTCATTAGTGCACATCAGTGAAGGAGAAAAATCACTTATTTACAAAATTTTATAACAACAACTAAGAAATTTTTTTTTTTTTGTACATTTTCTGTGGTTTTTGGTTTAAGAAAAAATTAAAAAACTCAGAGTTGATTAAATACCACCAAAAGAAAGCTCTATCTGTCACAAAAAAATTATAAAAATTTAATTTGGGTACAGTGTTGCATGACCGCGCAATTGTCATTCAAAGTGCAATAGCGCTGAAAGCTGGGAGTTGGCCTGGGCAGGAAGGGGATATAAGTGCCCGGTAGGCTTGTGGTTAATGCAGCAACCATGTCATTACACATATACTCAAAAGAACATTTTTTTAAAACATTTGCTTTTATTACATAGACATACTTGCGAAAGATACATATTATTTTTAAAAAGATATATTAGCTCTAATGGATATTGCAAAGATACTTCCTTTACAGAAAAACAAAATTCCCAAAAATTTACTCTGACGCATTTCTATAATTCCACTTTTTTGATCTTCTTCAGGGAGCATAAATACAAGAAAGATTTCTAGATAAACACATAAGAATGAGTGATAATTTATATACAGAAAGCTAGTCAATGACATTGATATCATTACCATTATGGTACTTACAAGGGAATTAAGCAATCAATATTAATCAGAGCCATCATAGAATCATGATATCCAAGATGAGGCTGCATGGTCCAAAGTTTTAGTGGCGTGACCCATTGGAAGAACAAAGGTGGTCAGATATCCATCACATAGTGCTGACAACAACAAGAGAGCATCAAATGACCCTCTATATCCCTCTATAATCATCACAGAAAGTATAAGTTAAGTATGAGGCCTATACAGGAAACCATAGAATTAATATTTCCACTATTTTGGTTAGTATAAAAAAAAAAAAAAAAGACACTAACCGTATTGAGGGCATGGCCAATAAGCAAGATGAATCGAAATATCCCTTGTTTTATAGTGAAGATATCACAGGTTATTCTGTAAAGGAAGTATCTTTGCAATATCCATCAGAGCTAATATATCTTTTTTAAAACATAATGTAAATGTTGTATTAATAACCATAGATCGTTTACATAAATTTTACAACTGCTGATAGAAAAAAATCTCCTTTTGAAAATGATTTATACATTCTTTGTTATTCCTGTACTTGATTTGTCTCTTTAGGCAAAGTGATTGATTTTCATGCATTTTACCATGTTCAGGATCCTCTTAGTCAAAGACTGTTGATATGTATGCTGTGTGTACATTTGGCTTGTTATGTCCAAAGCAACCTTTTAACTTTACTAACATAAATCATGTAATAAGCTCTAAGGCTAAGGGCAAGAAAAGCTAGGGACACTGTACCCTTAGCCTTGATCATGTCATCTTGTTCTTGGCAAAAACGTCAACAGCCTTACTAGTAAATATAGTAGAATGACAGGGCGCTATCAATTTTAAAATAAAAGAAAAGATAGTTCTATATATTCTATTAAAAAGAGGGAAGACCATATTGGTAACTAGCTGCTTCTCTGCAAAATATCAGCAGGTATTCCCTGTTAATGATAGACCATTAAAAGAAATATTGCAGGGAAAATGAGGGTACTGCAAGCAGACGTAAGTTCAAGGAAAGAACCTCTAAAGGAAAAATGATTTATTTATAGACCAAAGGACCATAGAAAGAAAAATACTTTACAGAATATTGTTCAGTATTTTACTTGAACACACAATCCACACAAATTTGTTTTCATATACTGTATACATTAACACATTTTGGGGATGTTCCTGTAAAAAAAAAAAATCTGCTTTAGGCAGTTGTAATGGACAATTTGTCTATTTGTAAAACTAATGGTTATATTATGCAAACTTGCCATTCATTAAATATTTAAAAATAGTCAAGAGCAGATACTATGGGATGTCAACCTTAAAATGTTACTAAACCCAGGACCCTACATTCACTATATCTGGTCTCCCACAGAACTCAGAACATGGGAGTGCAATTATTTTAGTAAATATAAACTGCTAAATGCCTTTTCTCATCAGCAGTTAGAACAGTCTTGTGACTTATATCAGTGTCCAGTAGAGCACTGGTTAAAGCTTGTAGGAGGAGTTTTCTTTCTTCTCAAGGAGGATGCAAAACCCCTGACCCTCTGTTTCGACAATGCTGATTGGCCTTGTGCTGAGCACATGCACTCTCCCAAGAACAAAAAAACCTCTCTAGCAATACACACTAAACTGAGCATGTGCAGAATGGCTATGGGTTCAGTCTGTCTTATCAGGAGATAAGACGTGGACATTTAACAAGAAGAGGAGCAAGGAATACACAATGCATAAGATTAACCGCTTATGTTCCACAGTGAGTATAACAAGCATGTTTTACTGCATATACAGACTGATTTTACTGTTGTGGGTTTAGTAACACTTTAAGCATTGTTAGAAAGCTATCCTCTGTGTACCTCTATGGAACTAGGTTTGAAAAAAATTGCTTTTTAGGTAAATTTAGTGATACCTGTTTTTTTAATTCCAGTAATAATAGAACTGAATTGACCTGCAAAAGTAGTGGTCACAACAGATCTAAAAGCTATATGAATGTGTACTCTTAAAAAATAAAGCTTGAACCCTCAACTTTGTACAAAATGGGCAGTGGCACAACAGTTTCATAGTTTAGTGTGCAAGCTTCGTTTTTCACAGTACCACATTGAATTGTCTTCAAAACTAATACACTGTTAAAACAGATTGCACAAAAACATTTCAAACCCACAATACCAAAAGGTACGCTAGGCATATCAAAGGGGTATAACTTAAGGCTGGTTGCCCTTTTCCTAGGTGGCTTTGGTTTGACCCATTTTTCTAATACAGTCAAAGCTGCCCTTTGTTGTGTCTTTCAAGCACCTCCTATTTCTTTCCTTGTTAGCCATTTATTAAATATGGTGTCTGCCTCCCTGCATTAGAGGCAAAACTGCCAGGGGGGAAACCAAAAGGCATTGGCTGACTTCCCTCCTACAAGGTGATTTTGGTTTCTTATTGCTAAAACAGGCAACACTGCCCCTGTGTGTGGCACCTCATCACAACAGAAGCGCACTCCAAAGCACCCCTTTTACATTTTTGCTTTATTTGTTTATTTATTTTTTAATGTCTTCCTTCCATGATCAGAGCATGGAAATGGTAAGGTTGATGACAATGAATTCTCTTGGAGTTATCTGCACATGGTTCTCTTACTTAACAGCTTTTTGATTTGATCTCAACTGTTTGTCTGGGCTATTAGCTAGCATAATGAAAATGGTGGACACAAATGTTTCAAAGGATTTTGAAGTCTCACCCAAGGAACCCAATGAAAGAGAAACAGAAATTGACAGTATAAAAACAGCTTTATCAATCAATTCATAGAGAGAGACAAAGAATATTTTATCACTTAACAAAAACTAGGGTGTATTATTTCACACAAAAAAACTGAAATAGTGTACTGACACCATGCACAGTTTGTAAGCATTTTTAGTAGGTAGCTATTTCACAGGGAGACACCAGGCAATTCTATAATCAATAAATTAAAAATAGAGTGTAGTCTAGTAAAATGCTTAAAACAAATATTGTAATGACCAGTTTTAAGCATTTTACTAGACTTTATTTTCATACTGAGAGACCTACCAGGTTAATAATCTAGAATACCAAATCAGAGTGTATTATTTCACAGTAAAAAAAGGCTTTTACTCATTTTGGATTCTGAAGTTATTTTTCTACCACCTCCTGACACATATCTGAAGTTGAGTTTACTATGGTGTGCTCTCTGAACACTTCCAGTACCTACTCAATATGTAATATGTCACTATCTGACCTGAATACTGCAGATCTAGCCTAATAATTCTGTAAAGGGATTGCCTATAAAGCATGCATTTTTTGGACCACTAAGACATTAAAGCGGAGCTCCACCCAAAAGGGGAATTTCCACTTTCAGCCTTTGTCCCCCACTCCCCATTAAGGATTGGCACCTTTGGGGAGCAGGGGTGAGCGGGTACCTGAATTTGACAGGTACCTGCTCCCACTTCCGCTGCAATCGCCCCTCCTTCCCTGTAGTCTTCTGGGACACGTGACAGCTCCCAGAAGACTACGGGGGGGTCATTCACAAAGCACAGCACTTCTCGCTCATGCTCAGTGGGCACCCGCCTGTGAAGCCGTAAGCTGTCACAGTCAGGTGCCCACACTGAAGATGCTAGCGCCAGGGAGAGAAGACGGATGGTGAAATCAGTGGTGGTGAACACAGCGCTGGACCAAGGGACAGGTAAGTGTCTGTATTTTAAAAGTCAGCATCTACAGTTTTTTTAGCTGCTGACTTAATTTTTTTTTTTTGGGTGGAAGTCCGCTTTAAAGAGCCTTATATGTCATAATTCTCAGATACTTCCTTTAGGTCCACTAGCATGTTAATATGTTACAGCAGAGATTCTCTTCTGGTACAGGTGTACCTGGCATCCAGGACATATTGTATATTTTGGAAACCAACAACAAAACTGAACATTTGTAGTTATCAGAGTGTTTGCATGTGTAAATTTACTGGACTTAAAAGATTGACTTTTATTTGTGTATTTTTAGAAGTGAGAAAATAAAGTGAGAGAGGTTAAAACATGAAAAAAAAATTGTTTGCAGAGACATTTGTACAGAGGCTGCGTCACCATAGAAACACAGTGGGTAAAGAATGGGATAAAAATACACAAGAAGCACATTTTATTGTATTTATTGTACAACCAGCAATGCAGATGTGATATCAGTTCACCCAGGCCAAAATGTTTTCTTGCATAAGCTCTAGTCATGGTATTTTTAATAAGGCTAGACAAAACAGTTTCAACTTGTAAAGTTATATGCATTGTTTTTGATTATTCTATATGCTTTTACTGTAACTTTAGATTTTTTCTATTTTGATATTGTATTTCTTTTTGCAAAATCATTTTTCCAATTAGAATTTTTCACTGGGCTCAGTGCCAATTCAGTGCCTAGTTACTGTATGGTATAGCAATAAACTTTTGAGAAACAAGCAAACTGCTATTAACCATTTGAAGATCGGACTGTTTCAC